CGGGGGGCGGTGGCGGCGCCGGGGCCCCGCACGATCGGTGGCGCGCGGGGCCGGACCGGGCGGGGCAGGAGCGGCTCCGTGCAGGCAGCGTCCGCCGCGGGGCGAGCCCTGGGGCCCCCGCGGGRAGCGGAGAAGATGGATGCGGCACGGATGCCTAAGGGCGCGAGTGATTAAAGGCGCGGCGGGGTCCTTCGCCCTCCATTCCCCCCTCTCTCCTTCCATCCTTTTCCCTGTCGTCATCCTTTTCCTCCTGGTCATTCTTCCCTTCTCTCCATAATTTCCCCTCTTCCATCCATTCTTCTCAATCTATTCATTCACACACACACACACCACACACACACACCCGCTCCATTCCCACGCGGGACACGACCGGCCTAGCCTAGCATCCTCCAGGGAACGAGGCTTGTGTAGGCCCCCGCCCCGCCCCGGGCATTTTTCCCTAACCGGGAGCATCCCTGCAGAGCCGACAGCACCTGCTGCTGGAAGCGGGATCTGAGTGCAGAGGAGCCAGCACGGTCCCTCGCATACAAACCACGCTTGCTCAGAGCAGTTTCAGGCAGCTGCAGGCTGCTGTCTGCAGCGCTCTTCCATTAGCTGGCATTTGGCTCGACAAGATTAATGCAGGCACCCAGTTTTCCGACTGGTAGCAGCTCTAACATCCAAACAAAATTGGGCCTTTGGGTCCCCTTCCTCTCAATGGTGGTATAATATAGCTCTGATACGTTTCCCAGTGGGATTGGTTTTGGTCACGCAAGGAAGCACGATCTGGTAGATTTCCTTCCCTAAGAGGAAGGAAATGCTAACACCTTCCCTAACAGGCAATTGCTAACACCATTCGGGGCAACTTAATTTTAATCGCCGTTCTGTTTTTGCAAAGGGCCTAATAACTAACATCATCCTGCTGTCAGGTGGTTCTATAGTATAGGCAAAGCTCTTTTTCTTGACATTTCAATGCCGTCTCATTGTGACTGATGGGGTGCAGAGTGGCTTGTACTGTAGTGCACACACCTGTCGAGAGAGAAAGCAAGCAGTGAGGGAAATGGGAATTAAGCCCTTCTTTCTGTGGACTTGGTGTCTCCCACTGAGGCTGGTATCCAGGAATGATGGGTTCCGGTTCTCCAGCGAACTMTGGTTGTGCCACTACACCTCTAAGTGTACATTTGCAATCCTGTATGGTTTTGGAGATGGATAAATTTACAGAAGCAACCCTTTCGTTACTCCTTTGACTGACAGAAAGGCCTATGTATTCCATCATAGCATAATTGTAATGTGTCTGGTCTGTGCCCCATTCAGGGCATGAAATAGATTTCCCTGGTCTACCTATGACCAGCAGTTGTACAACCTTCTCCCATCYTCATGTATTAGTCCCTGAGTTATTCTTGCCACCTGCAACCCTGATGTCTTTGCCCGTGTCAAGCTACATAAATAACGTGTCAGTGGGGAAAAGTTTACGGGACACAATGGACAAAGAATGCACAATTTAAAAAAAAGCAAGTGGAGTAGAAATGATTTGGACAAATATTCCTGAAATATGTTTTCCAGGAGAATAACTATTTGGTTAAAGAGCTGCAAAAAACTAAACGGCAGGGAAAGGGGTAGCAGTAAGGCGAGAAACGTATTTTCGTAGAAGAATCGAGAATGTGGGCTGCAGAATTCGGGGGGATTTCCTAATAAATTGAAACACGGTCTAGGTTGCAAAGTTTTGTCATACCTAAATACATAATGGAAGAATAGGTAAACATAATACTAGCAAAACAAAGCCATTGTAAAAGCAATTCTGCAAATAGATTAGATGGTCTTGCAATTAATGGTCTTCTGTAGCGCCCTTCAGACAAATCTGTTTTGGTCTGCTGTAGCACAAAGAACTATGATACTTCATAGGTTTTGGTCCAAACAATCAATTTGTGAAAAAAATCACTTTTTCTGTGGAAGTAGCTGAACACTCAAGCAGAATCCTGTACTTAATGACTAGGAGAAAACTCCTGCTCCTAGYATCATGCCATTAGCTCAAAGCCTGGCTAAGGAGCAGGCATTGCCCGTGATTAATTTTGTGACTCGGCTCTATACGGGGCGAGTGCTTCTCGCAAGTTTCTGACTGCCTGCGCTGGAGTCTGCTTCCTGCCATGAAGGGCAGGATGTCAGGGTACCTCTAGGAGTTGCTGACTCCTTTCTTTCATCAGATCTGATCGGTTTGAACTTTGAACTGCTTTGCGGCGGTTAAAAATGTAACTATGCACTGCAACGAGATATATCGTTCACCGAGGAAAGCGCTGGGACGAATTTTGGACTCTGAGGAGTGCTGTGTTGGCAATCAGACTACAACTTGGGTTCAATGGTGAAAAAAACCCAAAAGTCCGTGAAACAAAAGTGTATTTGGTAAGCAAAAGAAGCAAAAAGCCTATGTTATTTTTATTATTAGCTAAAAGACAATCTAGGGTGTAATAACCTGTACCAAAATGATGAAAAGCTCTGAGAACTTTATAGCTAAATGCAAATAAGAACCATAAAAGAACTGCTTGAAATTTGTCTGTTTATCCTGTAATCCTTGTGAAAAAAAAAAAAAAAAAAGGGAAATGATCTGTGTAATATGGAAGAATGGTAAGGTGAATGCATGTGTACATGTTCAGGAGATGCCTAAAGGTCAAATCAAATTTTTGCAGCCAGAAAAGGAATCTCGGCTTTTGCAAGTGTATCCTGCAATTAAGGTTTTAAAGGGTGGGGTCCACCCCACATAACACATTCCTCGAAGCAAGCAGAGTTCAGAACAGAAAATTTATCTTCCACATGGCTTAACTGATGAAAGGTGAAATTGACACATATAAATTCTTTTCTCAATTATTGCAATAACCGAAGCATATATTTAAAAAATAATTTTGATTAATTTTTAATAATGAGACRTCTTTTAGCAAAAGATTACTTAACATGGATTCCTTAATATGGATTAATGCAACCCAACTATCCATCTGACAAATTTTATGAATTTAAAATTCAGAAGTATGTTCTATGTTTATTGGTCCCCGTCCAGCAGATGTTTTAAGTACATGTTTAAATCYAAGCAAGTGCATAATGTGTTTTAAGTAGGGTTACTTGACATACTTAAGTGCCCCATTAGATCAGAGCAATCTAGTATGCTGGAGCTAGCACACTCTGTYTGCCATTTTAATGGAGCTCTGCAGACTCTGTCTATCCTAATGTTCTACCTATGCATCCTAATGGTTATTTTTAAGCCTCTTTATGTCATTCCCTAGAGGTGTCCGCCAAGATGAGATCTGCTTCTTTATAAACAGTCTTTCAGGGCATTTTTCACGAACTTTCACCCTCCCRTCCCTTCTTTAGGATGTATGTGTTTGGACTTTGGGGTTTGGAGTTTCTTTTTTACAATTTTGGCATCAGCGGCCTTAGTGAAAGAAATTTTCTGGCACCGAGTTAAAAATATGGTGGACGGTCGGAGCGTGCGTTTCACCTCAAAATGACCTCGGGCTAAACTTACTTCCTCGCAAGTAGAATTTCGGAAACCAACATTGCTTTAGAAATCCATATACGCGTCTTAGCATATATGGTCTTAGCCGCCTGAAAAAATCACCTATTTTCATGTTATTTTGATATTTTCTGGCATTTTCAGCATTTTTGCTGACAGCATGCCACCCGAGAAACCGCAAGACACGGAGAAGCGGTTCGGCAGTACATCCCCATTGCTGAGCTGGCAAACCCATAGGATACATGGGATAGCTAATCCCTCGTGTTTCTCTTTGTAAGGGTGCTTGGGACATTCGAAAGGCCTAATATGTAGGGGAAAATTGTGATAATGGCATGTAGTAATACCAAATGAGGTGTACTTTAACGTTGTCCTACAAAAGCACTCCGATTATTGCAGTAAATAAAGCGGTGCTGCATATCGAGAAAAGTGAAATCATTTATTAAGCAGGATGAAAAAAGTGAAGGCATGTTAATAACCACACGCATCCCGCGCTATTTCAGATAGATTTAAATGTAAAATATGGGCAGCTGTGATGAGCTGACATAGTAAAAGACAGATACAATAAATGCTGGTTGGTAAACACTTTTCAGGCTCACGTTGCCCTCAAGGTTCCTCTGATGCATCTAATTTATGACGTTTTTACTGCTTAGTATAATCGTAAGAAAAGAATATTTGCCGTCGGTTCTGCAGAATCTGAGAGACTCCACATTTGGGTCTAGTCATTGCTCACTCACTACCGTGGAGGTTTTCTTTGCTACTCAACTGCCCAGATACCTAATTCTCATCTCCAGGCTCAGTTTTTGCCCATGCCTTACCCAGGTACGGCTTCATCTAATGTAACTTAGCTTGGGCAAAGACGTGTCCCGAAATACTATCTTTACTCTGTGGCATGTGACAGTTCTGCACTCCAAAGCTCTCGGTGCGTGCATTTGCAAAATGTCAATAGAGCTCTGCTGGAAACAGAGAAGTACCTGAAAGCACACTTTCATAGATTGGACCATTACTTGTTTTTCTCCAGACTTTAACACCCTTGCAGATGCTGTCTGTTGTATAAAGCATGAGAGGAAATAGCATCGCAGAGAGTCAAACGGTGAGGTGGAAGCTGAAGAATGGCATACGGGTGCTTCAGACGTCGCTCCAAATAAGCAAGCTTAAGCGAGGAGCAATACCGTTGAGAGTCAAAAGGTCAT